TCTGTAACTCCAGTTCCAGGGGATCCGATAGTCTCTTCTGTCCTCCGTGGGCATTGCACAACACAGGTGCACTTACCTACATGCAGGCAATACACATAAAATTTTAAAAAAAAGAACCTACAAATATGATAATACAATTGATTCTAGGAAGCAAATTAGCAGATTAATTATATGAAAATTTCTTATCTGAGAAATCCTTTTTAATGTTGGCAATGGCGTTTCTGTTTGGGCTTTTGTGGTAGTTGTCTTGGTTTGGGTTTTTTTGTTTTGTTTTGTTTTGCTGTGTGATTTATTTTTAAAAGCATGATCTGCTTGTTAATCTCATAAATATTAGTTGCAGACTTTTATTAGCAGTTAATTTATGATTAAGTTAATATTTAAATAATATATAAAACAACCAATTGAACATGTTGCTTATACTTAAATTTAACTCTTTTGTAGATGCAGAAATTATTGAGATAAAATTTGAGAATGAGTAGGCAGCTTACATAAGAGCTTGTTGAGGCTCTAGAAGGGAATCTGCCTTCTCTTAAAGTAGATGGTTCTGAGTATGATAAATTCAGTGAAGCTTAAACTAACAGCTTCACTTTGGAAATATGTACCTGGATTGGGGGATAAAAGCAGGTACTTATAGGCTAGTTTGTTGACTGATAAAATCTTGTAAAGATACTACTTGTTTATTGAAGGCCCTATAAGTCATGATAATATACCATCCTGTGAGTTAATTTTTCAGTTTGATATGTGGGAAGTCTTTCCTTTATCCTTTTGGGTAGAATCTTTGTGGTTAGTACAGCACACTCATAGCAACACTCCTAAGGGTTTAGTGTCTACTCTCCTGTTTAACACAAGCCAGATTTCTGATTTTTCTATACCTTTTTTTCCTCTTCTCAAATGGAACCTTTTTTTTAGGCAGGGTCCTACCATGTCATCTCACTTGCTTGGAACTTACTATGTAGACCAAGCTGGTGCAGAATTTACAGAGATCCACCAGCTTTTGCTCTTGAGGGCTAGGTTAGTTAAAGGCCTGTACCTCAGCTTTTTTTAACCAATCTTCTTTTAACATTTACAAATTATTTTCATTATTTTCCTTAGCCATGTGAAACTCATGAACTAACGAAAAGGTTTAAAAACCAGATTAAAGGAAAGCAAATTAGGCCCACAGGTGGTTGCCACTGGTGAATACATTCTTTCTTCCTTGCCTGTTTCTCTGACTTCTATCTCCCAGACTGCCTTTTTAGAGATATCGAAGGACAAAGTGGATTCTTGTGATGCTCTCTTCCAGTGTATAGTATGACATTTGAGAGACATCTGGCACCTATACCTTTTGAATTCATAGAATGATCTCAAATAATAGAAGACAAAGAAAATTAGCTGAAATTAGAACATTTTGAAGAAGCTTAGAAAGATTGATAGGGAAAAAGTTTGATTAGAAAGTAAAATTTAAAACTAGATGCTAAAGCCAGGCGTGGTGGTGCACGCCTTTGATCCCAGCACTCGGGAGGCAGAGGCAGGCAGATCCTTGTGAGTTTAAGGCCAGCCTGGTCTACATAGTGAGTTCAGGTTAGCTGGGACTACAGGGAGACCCTGTCTCAAAAAGACAAAAAAAACCACAAAAAACTAGATTCTAAAAAGTAATGAGAAAAACTTAACTTTGTATCTCATACCCACTTTGTTTTGTGGTATAGGGAGAACTTACTTCCCATAACTATGCATGTTAACAGTATTGACAGTAGTGACATTTAACACTTACCTGCTGTGTTACTATGCCAACATTATAAATACCTGAAAAACAAAAAAAGCCTAATTCTTAAATATAATTAAAAAAAAATATTTTACTTATTTTATGTGTATGCATGTATTGTCTGCATGTAGGTAAGTGCACCTGTGTTATGCAGTCCCCGTGGAGGACAGAACAAGCTGTTGGATCCCCTGGAACTGGAGTTACAGTTGTTAGCTGCCATATGGTTTCTGGGATTCAAACCCGGGTCTTCTGCAAGAACAGCCAGTGTTCTTAACTGCTGAGCCATCTCTCCAGCCCCCTTAAATTTAATTTTTAAGAGTGGGTCAGTACTCAGAGGACAGTTGTTTCCATCAATATATTTTGGAACCATCTGTCTCCTGGAACTGTGCTGATAGAACTGTCATGTTGGAACTCTGTCCTTGGAACTGTGTCCTTGAGCCTGGCTTGACCCGTAATTTTATTCAAAATGGTTTCCTCAGCTTCAGTTGGGAAAGCACAAGCTTGGCTCCACCCTACTTTTAACAGACCTTGGGGCTTTTCGTTCCTAGTTCTAAAATATCTCCTTCACCCCAGGTCACACACCTTTCCCAGTCTCCCAGTGTGCAGTGAAGATGACTGTGTCACCTTTCAGGGCTTTGATATGTTAATTCTCAAGCAGGAACTCACATCAGGTTCCCAGGTCACAAAACACAAGAGCACATGGTTTTGCTGTGTTAATTAAAAGTATTAGTCCAGATTAGGTCCATTTATAAAAATTATCTCCACACTTACCTATTACCTAATGTGAAGTAGGCTCTGTGCTACTTGTTGTGTATACATGATGTGCATATCTGATCCTCACCGCATTGCTCTTAGGTAGATACTAGCATGACTCTCAGTTTGCAGGAGCTCAGACCAAGAATGAATTTAAAGTATTTGCTCATTGAAGAAGAGGGATATTATAAATATTGCTGTAAATTCCTATTCATGGGTGAAGAGATGTGATTTTTAAAGAGACAGTGAATTATATAGGTATTTGAATAAAGATTGGTAGGTGCTCTTTCATTTTTTAACATACAAAGGTTAAATGTATTTATCAAAAATATTTGACGTTTGTAATTTAGCATGCAGATAATACTAGGTTGACATTAGAAGTGTATAAGATAGTGTTGGCCAGGCATGGTGGCACACACCTTTAATCCCAGCACTCAGGAGGCAGAGGCAGGCGGATCTCTCTGAGTTTGAGGCCAGCCTGGTCTCCATTAGCGAATTCAGACCAGCGTGGCTACAGGGAAACCTTGTCTCAAAAAGACTAAATAAATAAATAAATAAATAAATAGTAGTTGTATTTTGAAACTTCAAGTTTTTGTGTATTGCAGTTAAGATCCATTTTTTGGTAATTTACTCTCATTTATCCATCAAATATTTATTAAAACCCTACTGTGAGCCAAATATGGTATTGAGTGCTGGAAATTAACCTGAGGATAGGTGTGATGCAACCCCTGCCTTAGTAATCTTATCACCTAATATACAAGACAGTTAAGTAAAGAATAATTGTACAAATGAGTTGAGCTGAGGTTGAAGCTTAGAGATAGAGCACTTGCCTGGTAATCTGGGGCCTTGAATTTGATTGCTAGAACTACAAAAAAATAAAATAAATGAATGAGACAGGATGCCGCTAGTGGTACTAACTGTAAAGATCACACGTGGCTTACTTGAAGAAGGAAGGAGACTTCCTAAATGCCATGGATACTGATTTATGATTTTTAGCCACATGCAGATCATTAGAAATACCACCAAGACTTTTTAAAAAATACTAATGTGCAAGCCTTCCTCTAAGGAGTTCACAGGGAGATAAGAAATAGGTATACTTTAAAACCATCCAGTTTTATAGCCATGGTTTGTAGCTACGCAAATATCATCTTAGACATTGGTCTTCAAATAGCAGTTGATGACAAGATATGTGGCGAGAAATCATTACTAGAGAAGGGAAGATTCGAGAAATCATTACTAGAGAAGGGAAGATTTGAGATAAATAAATAATCAAAGCAAAGATGCACATATTTAAAATAAAAAGCAAATGTTTCTATATTAAGATTAAACAACTTTCCAGCTGGACATGGTGGCGCAGGCTTTTAATCCCAATACTTGGGAGGCAGAGGCAAGCGGATCTCTGTGAGTTCAAGGTCAGCCTGGTCTATATAGTGAGTTCCAAGCCACCCTCACTCCAGGGAGACCCTGTCTCAAAAAGACCAAAAATAAAAATAAAAATAAACAACTTTCCTAGGTAAGATTAATCTCTTGGGGCTGGAGAGATGGCTCAGCAGTAAGAACACTGGTTGTTCTTGCAGAAGACCTGGATTCGAATCCCAGCACCTACATGGCAGCTAACAATTGCTTGTAACTCCAGTTCCAGGGGATCCGATGGCCTCTTCTGTCCCCCGAGGGCATTGCACGACATGGGTGCGCTTACCTACATGCAGGCAATACATGCATACACATAAAAGAAAAATAATAAAATATTTTTACAAATAGATTAATCTCTTTAGGCAACTGAAGAAAGTATTAAGATGTTTCTCACATTGCACTTAAAAATACTAAGTATACAAAGAATTTCACATGGACCAAGTGCTCAAGCGTTTTACATGGAGATATTAATACTGAGATAAGATACACACTAGGATCATATTAACAGATGTATACTAGATCATATTAACAGATGTATACTTATCCAAATGTAAAACCTGAGGATGGTAAATACCTTCATGAATGGCTACTAGAGGAGAGCTTTATACATGACAATGATTGGGTAGAAGTATGACTTTAGTGAATATGGAATGCTAATTGATATTATTTACTTATACAGTAGATCAAAAATTGTCTTGTGATTTGAAATATTATAAAGAGGAAGGAAAGATTTATTTTCAGTGTAAAAAGGGTTTGGAATTCAACAGGTGACATTTAAATGAGTGCTTACCTAGTATACAGGAAACACAAAGTTTCTTATGCTCTCGCTAAAAACCATAAACAGGAAGATATTTTTAGTGTCCAGTTCCTTTTTGTTTCATTGTAAAAACTATTATTCTGATTTGTTAAGTCAATATTCCAAAGTAATGCTAGTAAATGTAGAATGGGACTAGACAAGTTTTTTGTACCTGTATCAATGCCCACTGTATTACAGACTGTATTACCCTTTATTTTTCAGAATTTTATTGTTCTTACATTTTGAATTTTCTAGGCTAGTTTTCTTTTATTTTGTGTTATAATTTATCTTCTGAAGGTCAAGTAACCTGGTTTGGTTATGAGAGCCCTCGTAGCTTCTGGGACTATATCAGAGTGGCTTGCCGGAAAGTTTCACAGAATTGTATCTGCAGCATTGAAAATATGGAAAATGTCAGTTCCTCTAGAGCTAAGGTAAGACAATGATAATATGCAGCATGTATGGTCTAATAATAAACTTTTTTGACCTTGTCAGAAAATGTTTGAACTCTGTACGGAAAAAGAAGTGTTTCTTTTCTTTTTTGGATTTGCATCTTACCAAAGTTAGCATCTTTCAGAGACTTTATTTCCTTTTTATCTTTTTTATTGTATATAATTATTTTTACAATACTCTTGCATCTTTACTGTTGCAGGAAAATAGGAACCTACCATCTACAATTTTCCTTTTAAGAAGCACTTTAAAATATATCTTGTTCTGATTTTTTAAAATAATCTAACCAAATAGCTCTCCCATTGTGTCCTGAGGAATCCTTGGGGGTCTTCAAAGGCCCTTCTTTGAGGGTCCATAATCTCTAAGCCAACACCCTATTTGCTTTTTCACTGTGCTAACATTTGCACTGCTAATGCACAAGCAATGGAAAATAGAATTTTTGGTGCCTTAGGCAATTGCCATTAAGGCAATGGCATCAAATGGCATAAACAGTCACATTATACTTTCCCACTATATACTAAGTATAAAAGCCAATTTCACTTAAGAATGTCCACTAGGGCATACTGTTGATTTGTATTCAATTTAAGCTTTTGAGTGGGTATTTTATACTTATTGAACACAAAATGGGAAATATGGTAGAGCATGGTGATGTATGCCTGTAATCTCAGCACTAGGGAGGCTGAGGCAGAAGATTGAAGATTTGAGAACAGCCTAGGATACATAGAAAGTTCCAGACCAGCCTATGTTATAAACTCTTTCTCAAAAATGGGAAATATAAAACATTTCTGAAGCATATTGAAATGCTATGGTTGCTTCAAGAAAGACACATAATTGTCTAAATTGTGAGCTGAACTAAACAATTTTTCATGCTATACTACTTTTCCTGGAAAGAAATTTATAAAATGTAATTTGTAAATTTACTGGGGAGATAGAACAGTTAGTAAAGTGCTTACCATATAAGCAAAGGAACCTGAATATGATACCCAGAACCCACATTAAAGTCAAGCATGGCAGTTGGTGCCTATAATCTTAGCTGTGGGGAAGCAGAAACAGGTGGATCCCTGGGGCTCCCTGGCCAGCCAGCCTAGACTACTCAGCAAAGTCCTAGTCAGTGAGGAGCCTCATCTTAAAAAACAATGTGGACAGCTTCTGAGGACTAGCACTTAAAGTTTTTCTTTGGCCTCCACACACACTCACATGAGCACTTACATGCCTGGACATACATGCACATGTGTCCACACACAAACACATAAAGGAGAATATAATTTTTTTCAGATTTAAGCACTTAATATTTTTTAAAAGAATCTTTTCTTTCTGAAAAAGTCATGTCATGAAACAGCTGGCATTATCCATTGCTAGTGGTCAAGCTTTTAAATTATAACTAGATTTTTTTTTTGACAGGGTCTCCCAAGCCCCAGCCCGCCTAGAAGTCACTATGTAGACCAGGCTGGCCTTGATCTCACAGGCCTGCTTCTGCCTCCCAAGGGCTGAGATAAAAGGTGCTCACCACTATGCCTGGATTAAATTTTTTGAAAATATATTCACTGCTTTAAGCTTGATAAAGGCTTTTCTCATAACATTGATGTTGATATTAGGAAATATATTTTTTAATTGTTTAATGGAATTGTTCATATTTGATAGACCTGTCTAACTTATATTTTCAAAATGGCCAATTCATGGAATTACAAAAGCATGCATTAGTGAATGATTAATTCAAAGTTCAAGGTAGGCCTATGGATTTAATGCAATAAAGTATTAAATGTTCATTGTTTAGTTATGTATTCCATGTTGCACCTAATTTTTAAAATATTTCCATGTACTGGGGTTTTGTGAGATGTGTATGCAAGTATGTGGGTGTGCATACTCATGGGTGAACATGTAGAAGCCAGATCAGGATGCTGGGTGTCTTCTTTTATGGTTCTTCATCTTTTTGTATTGAGTCAAGGTCTACTCCTGAACTGGAAGCTTGCCATTTGGCTAGGCTGACTGGCTGACTGGCCAGAGCACTCTCAGGATCTGCTTTGTCTCTATTGCCCAATGCTAGAGTTACAGGCATGTGCAGTCATGCCTGTTTTTTTGTATAGGTACTGGGGATTTGAATTTAAGTTCCCAAGTTTGCAGGGCAAGTGCTCTAACCCAACGAGCCATCTCTTCAGCCTCATTTACTGAGTTTTGAGGTAGCATTAAAGGAAAATATTCACAATCATCTGAAAAGGTTAATATTAAAAGACTCTTTTGAACCAGGCATAGCTTTCACATCTATAATCCCAGCACTTAGGAGGTTGAGACATAGTCAGAGGCCAGAGGCGGAGGCAGAAAAATTGAGTTTAGGGCCACACTGGCTACAAAATGGATTCTACACAGTCCTGGGATTTTTGGTAAGACTCTATAATCTACATTAAAGCTCTTTTAGGGTTCTCCATAGTTCTTAAGTTTTGTTTAACAAAAAGATTTGTGAAAAGAAAATCTGATCTGCTGATATGAGCTATTTTAGCTTTAATTTAGAAATTTTTGTGGAACTACCGTAAGTAGAAAATAAAGATTTACAGTTTGAAGTTCAAGACATAATTTAGTTCAATATTTTAGAATTTTAAAATTGTAATTGCATCTTAGTTGAGTTTGTATGTTTGCTTTTGTTTCCCTCAATGAATAAGAAATATCTTGGGTTCTTTAGATGAAGATTAAAAGATTAGTTGTAATTTGAATAAATCAAATCAGTACAAGTAAAAATTTGTGGTACATAAGCTTTCTCATTTTCAAATTTAAAATAGGAACCATGAGTATAACAAATATATTATACACCCCTTCAATAGAGATGGATTGAATACATATACATATACATATACATATACATATACATATACATATACGTATACGTATACGTATACATATATGTGTATGGCATGTCCCCAAGATTCAGAAAGTAATTGAGAAGTCAACAAACATTGGAAATGCAGCTTGTTGACCAAAGCATGGGTGGACCAAGGAAACCTCAATCCTAGCTTCCCAGCTCTCTTAATGAGGCTCTTGGGACTAGTCCCAACAAAACAGGATATTGCCCAGCAGAGATTTCATGTTTACTCTATAAAGAACTGATGCTTGATATCAAAATGCCATGGAAAAGTCAAGTTCCAAGTCTTGTTTTTACATCTGCATTTCAAAAGCTCACGCCTAGCAAATTCCAGTCAGTGAAGAGAGATCATCCTTTTGCTGGGTTTATGCTATGAGAAGTTAATGGACAAAAATTTGTCTTTATTCATTGTCATGAGAAGAGCAAAGTACTTAATCTACGTGTCAAGTGTCAGGCTTGAAAGATTAAACAAATGCCTGAGATGGGAGGTTTATTGAGTCTGACAGAGCTGCAGTCTTGAGTCACTGTTAGCATATGTTGTGTTGTCATTCCACCTTTACATGTATGAAAATAGCAGAATTGAAGCACCAAACATACCTGATAAAGAAATCAGTGTACTTGGAACTAAAACTGTTTTAATTTTTAGATACTATATAAAGGAACAAACTTATTCTGACTACATTTTCAGTTATATGGAATATAGTTTAAGCAACTGAAGACAAATACCCCACAGAGCAATGACCAGTTTAGTAAGACACCCTCTGTGTGTGTCTGTGCATGCATGCATGCGTGCGTGTATGCATGAATGTTGTTAGGGATTGAAGTAGGCAAGCACTTTGCCACTTAGCTACACCTGTAGCCACATTCTTTAAATTTAGTTGAATTGATTGAATTGGAGCTATCTGTGTTCTGCTATCACTGTGCCACTTAAGTTGTAGAAACTTGTCACTGTGGTAAATCTGATCCTAAAATTTCTAGATTAAAGTGAAATGCAGACCCTCCCTTTTTTCGCCTGGGTGGTGAGATGTTGAACCCATTCCCCAACATCTAAACATAGCCTAACAATGCAGTCAAGTATTTTAACATAAAAATCATGTCCACATTCTCTCCATCTCCATATTCCAAGTATTTCTGTCTTGTCAAAGATTATGAGACATGGAATTTCCATACAAAAGCTTACTTGATTTTCAGCCTGGAATCAACACTTGTAGAATAATAGCTTCATCTCAGCAGACAACACCTTATTTCACTCTTTCTGACTTCATCTGAGTCTTCCACATTAGCTCTTCGGATAATCATTTATAGCATTTTATAAGATTGTTGACAAAAACGATCCTCAACTTAGTTGTTAATCACTACTGTTCCTCACTTTGTATAGGGTTTCCACTGTGTTTTTTAAGATTCCAGTTATTTAAAGCTCAAGAAATCCATTCTTTGCCTTTTTTTATTTTTTTCTTAGCCTCAAAACAGAAGCCCTATACTGTTCTTCATTTTTTAATCTTCCAGAATATAGTCTTTAATGTTTTTTTGAATTTTGAGAATTTTATACAGTGTATTTTGATCATAGCCAGACCCCCTCATCTATCTGCACCCTTTACTTTCCCCCACTCAATTTCATATTCTCTATTATTACTTTTTAAAGGCCTATAGAGTCAGTCTAATTTGTGTCCCCAAATGTACTTTGGTGTAGGTTCATACCCAGGAGCCTGATTAACCTACCCAGCATCACACTAAAGAAAACTGACTCTTCCTCTCCTGGCAGTTATCAGTTGCCAATCACTCCTCAGCTAGGGTTGGGGCTTCTTACCCATCTCCCATCCTCCTCTATTCTGCAAATTTGTCTGGCTTGAGCTTGCTTAGGTCTTATGCTTGCTCTCATAATTGGTGTGAATTCATAGGGGCACCTGCCCTGCTGTCTTAAAAAGTTTCCTTATAGTCATCCACCACCTCCAGCTCTTATACTCTTTCTTCCCCCTCTTTCCCAATGATCCCTTAGCCTTAGGAGGTAAGGGACTTCCAGAATATTTTGTGTAGGAGTTTTTCCCAGTCCTTTTTTTTTTTTAATTTTTAAGAGCACTTCTGGGCTTTAGCTAGATTTAGCTTTGACTTCTTTGTGGCTGCTTATGTTTATAT